CAACGCCCGGGATAGCCGCCGACACAGGAGCCTTTGCATCCGCTCCTGGCCCAGGTTGTAGTAAACGGACATCTCCCGGCTGAAATACTCCTGGCCGGCAGGGGAGTTCATCCCCCAACTCTCCAGCCTGGCGGCCACCACTTCGTAGCACCAGGGGAGCCTCTCATCGGCCTTCCACCCCTCGGCCAAGAACTTCTCGACGGCCTCATCGGCAGCCTTCACGACGGCGGCCTCGGCCTCAGCCTTCGCCTTGACAGCCTCCTCGCTCCTGCGCTTCTCGGCCTCAAGCGCCCTATGGGACTCCGCGAGCTCCCTTTTGCTCTCTTCGAGCTTGATCAAGGCGACGTCCCTGGCCGCGACGGCCTCATCAGCTTTGGCCTGCAGCGCCTTGGCATCCTCCCGGAGCCGGTCAAGGCAAGCTACCGCCTCGTCGGCCGAGGCAGCCTTCTGCTCCAGCGCTTGCAGGCGGACTATCTCCCAGTACTGCCTCTTATGGCTTTCCATAAGCATGAAGGCACTCTGCAGAAGAAAAACAAAGGTCAGGCAGAAACTCTACATAGACGAAGAGAGACAAGAATATAAGGACAATCACTTACTTGGACGAGGAGATCCATGCCACCCTCATAAATCTTCGGGTCCTCGAGCTTCTTCAAATGAGCCCGATCTTTGGCCGGCATGGCCTTGGCCAGGACGACGTGGCCGGGGACGAGCTCATTAAACACGCCCCCGCCGACGGGGTACTCTATCACTTTCTGATAGGTGGCACCAGCAATCTCCTTGCCGGCCCTCTGCGTCCGTGGTTCCTGGACGAGAGGAAGCGCTGGGGCGGCATCATCAACAACAGTAAGGTCCACGACGGGACCACCATCGCCCATGCTGGGGACAGTAAGCGTACCGGCCTCACTAGCCGGAGAAGGGGAAGGAGCCCTCTTCGTCTTCTTAGAGACGCTCACGCCGGCCTCGGTCAACTTTTTCTGGCCGTCAGTGGCCGGTCTCTTTTTCTTGGACGGGGCAGGCTTTGGGGCCGCATCAGCAGTAGCCCCGCTCCCTCCAGCAGCGACACGTCGGGCCGCCTCGGCCGCCTTAGCAGCCAGCTCTTCGGCCGCCTTGGCCTTAGCAACGGCCATTATGGAACGCCGGTCCATGACAAATTCTACAAAGGAAAAACAAACAGATTAGTAAGGCAAAGGACAAAACGTAAAGACAGAAAGCTGAAGAAAAATTACCATCGGCCTCAGCAGGAATGCCCAAATCCGGGCCATCGGCCTCCTCAAAGGTGGTGGTCATCCTCGGCCAGAGTTGGAGGTCATCCTCCTTATCTCCATACAAGTGATATCTGAAGAAGCCGAGGGCCGTCATCTTGTATTCAGTGACGTAATCTTTCACGCTCCTCGGCCCCCCTTCCAGGAAAGCCTCCACCTGAGCGTCCAAAATAGAGCTCTTCGGCGGGTCATGAAGATTGAACCTCCCGGTATGGCCGAGGGAGGGGAACTCGGTGCCACTCTCACCAATGGACACAAACACGAACTTGCTCTTCCACCCATGAATGGACGTAGGCAAATCCGTGAAGCTCCTCTTCCTCGGCAGCTGTTGAAGAGTAGCATAGGCCGCACAGTTCTTGTGGCTTCCTCGGCCGATCTGGTACAAGTTCATGAATAAGGCCGTGGTCGGCCTGTAGCCCAACTCCTCACACTGAAGCAAGAAGCCCACTATCAAGGAATAACTGTTCGGCGTCAGCAGGGCCGGAGGAAGCCCCACCATGTCCAGATACTCATTGACGAAAGGGTGAAGGGGGAACCTCAACCCCTTAGCAAAACTCATCGGGTATACTCCGAAGTATCCCGGTGGCGGAAGTAGAACATGGTCCGTCGGCCTGGGTGCCCTAACCCGCCCGAACGGCCCCACGTACATCTGGGCGACAAGATAGTCGGCCGCACTGCTCTCCGGCTTGATCAGGAATATGTTGGTGAGGTCCAAGTAGGAGAGACCCGGCCCATTCTTCGGCCTCCTCACCCTCTTCGGCTTAGCTGCGCCCTTCACGGCAGATACCGGCCTCGGGCACGGAACGGCAGCAGAAGTGGACGCCCCGTCCACCGCTCGGGACGCGCCTACGTCCTCACCCTCCGAAGAGGAGGCGGACTCCTCGTCCTCGCCTTTCTCGTCCATCAGCTCTCCAGATTTGTAGGGGCTCAAACGCTCTATCTCCTCTTCAAACTCCTCGAGCACCTCGTAGTCAAGGGACCTCGTGGAGGGCTGGTCGTCGTAGGGGTAGTAGTCCTCGTTCAAGCTCTTCATTACTACTTTTACGGACTTAAGGAGAACAACTTACGATCTAAAGGTGTTTAAACGCCTAACACTAGATCAACTACTTACAGAGCAAAATATGAAAAGTGAGGAAGATCGTGATGAACACTAACCTCAAACAACGAAGAACACGAAGAACAGGCTTGGGAGTTTATCTCTCTAGAAAATCGGCCAGCACTTCGACAAATTCAGAATGCAAATGTGATTCTTCGTCGGAGGGGAAGGGGTATTTATAGACCCCCCACCGACGGTCACTACACGTGGCACTCACCCAATGGCCACATCAACAGCCACCACTGGGGGGCCACCACGTCACCAACGGGCCAGGACCAACCCATATCAACGGCCCACCGGCAAATCAGACTCTACGGCCTACACACACTCAGCGGCTTTACAACTGCCAGCAAGCGCCCACAACGTCCCACTTGCTCACCAAGATCACGAATGCCAAACAATAAGCGGATGGCAACGGCCAGGAACGTAACGGCCACAGAACAAAGGGGACAAATAGCCCACAGCCTTCGGCTCCTCGTAATAACCCTTGATGATAACTCTCTACAAGCGATCTGCGCACAAGGGTTCTCCCACAGGGTTACCTTGGCCAGAAAATCGCCATGAGAGTTGGATTCAGGGGGACTACGGCGAGACCGCTTCGTCCAGGGACTCAAGCAACTCCTTTCACCCCTCACACTCTTCGGCCTGAAGCAGTGGGGGACTGGGGGGCTACACCGGCCTCAACAAAACAAAAAAGTGCGAACAAAGTAGCCACAAAGCATGGCCACATCGTCCTCCGCCAACAATTAATCTTAACGGGCTCTTCGGCCAAAAAACACGAAGGCCAACCAGCAACGGCCAAAAGGAGTGCGCAAACACCCTCATCGGCCACACAAAGAAAATGAGGCCATCGTCCTCAAAGCAAGGAACAAACCCAACGGCTTCACCGGCCCAAACAAACTTCAACCACCAACGTCCAGGAAAGGGAAAGCGCGCCTTCAACGTCCACCATTGAAAGAAGGACAATCATCGTCCCAAAACAAATTAAGGAAACAACGGCCTCCCCGCCACAGCGAGGAACAGGTAACGGCCAAGGCACAGAACAGGATCACCAAAGAGGAAACAACGCCAACGCCGCAACGGCTAACGGCCTGGAAATGCCCGCGTCGGCCAAAAGCAACAAAGCACAGAAATCTACTCTCCTTCACTTCGTCTACGTCTCAGCTTAGAGAGTGGGGGACTCTTGATGGAGTATATGGGTCTGAGCCCCAGGACCCACATACTCGGAAGAACAGAGCACAAGACAACAGAGTGGCGCCCTCGTCGGCCAAGACGCCCCCGTCGGCCGAGAGGAAGCCAACTCAGATTACGGTCCTGAGTCCAAGGGACTCGGGTGCCCTCGTCGGCCGTGCCCTCGTCGGCCGTGCCCTCGTCGGCCGTGCCCTCGTCGGCCACGAAGACCTCCCAGAGTCGGATCCTATACTTACTCATTTGTACAGCCCATTAGAGGCTTTGTATTCGGTCCAGTAGCGGTCCAGTTGTAAATGGGCCTCCCAAGCCCAAGACTTGGGAGCCCAACCCTAATTTTCTCTATAAATACTCCCCTTGGGAGTAGTTATAGGGGTTACAAAATCATTCTATTGAAGCATATTATTGCACTTCTCTCTCTAACTCTCACTTCTCTCTAGAATTCAGGAGATATACTCTATCAATCGTATTTTTCTATGTAAGTCCATCCAGTAATTCCATCAACTATGTGAAAAACTCTATGTGACAAAAAGATCAGGGAAAATTAAATTAATAGAAAAACAAAACATTCACGAAAATGAAAGAAAGAAAAAATTACATTTTCCCGAATGTTTTATTTTTCTTTACATTTTCCAAATGCTTTATTCTTCCGTAATCTTTTCATCACATAGTGCTTTTCCAACAATTGATGAGATTAATGGATCGATTTACTTAGAGAAATATGATACTAAAGAAAGGAGAAAAAACGTATTGATGGTGGAAGTAAGATAACAAGAAGAAAGAAAAGAAGAAAGAAGCTAGAAAAAACATAAATAAATTAACAAGAAGAAAAAAAGAGAAAAGTGAAAATAAAAAAATACGTAGTATATAACAAAAAGTAGAATGAGAAAAATATATTTAATAAGAAGGGAATGTTTAAGAAGAAAAACGTAAAAAAGGAAATGAAATAAAAATACGGAAAGAAAAAGAAAACGCCAAAAAGAGCTATTTTGCAAGGAAATTCTACAAAAAAAAAATCTCCCATAATAGTGGGAAATAGAATAATAAAAAAGGAAAACAAATAAGAACAAAAGAGTAGAAAAAGGAATAAAAAGTGTCGATGAAAATAAAGAATATTAATTTTTACGGATAAAAAAAAATGAAATATGAGACCGTTTTGAGTAGATTTGTGAAATGTTGAATTATTTATGTTAGATTTTCAAAGAAATGGTAAAAAACTGATATAATAGATCATAAATCCGTCAATGTCCAACGAAAGAAGATAGAGTGTGAATGCGGAATTATTCTGAGATTACGTAAATAAACGTAAATTTATTATAGAAGACCCGTAAAAAACGTATAGATTTTTCCTTGTAGTAATCCGTATTGTTCTTATTATTATCGTTGCCGCTGGCTGCTATGTGGCGACAATCTAAATAGGGACTCAACCCACTTTCAAAAAATTCGACCGTTAACCTGAAACATAAAAGTTAATTCCTTTCTATAGGTATTTCTTCTTCCCTTCGCGTTTTCATTACATTTCATTCATCAAATCCAGTAACCCTGTCATAACGTCTCTCTATTACTTCGCCAATAGCTTTCAACTCTATCAACTCTAAGGCCGTCTTTCTTCTGATCCGATCGTCAATGGCCCCAGAGGACGATCCGAATGCATCGGTAGTTGATGAGACTTACGAGTTTTTGGCACCACGGTTCTATGACTTTGTTCACGGCGAGACTCAGGAGGATGCACATAAGGCCGAACTCTGGTTCGAGTCTGCACTCAGCTATGCCCCTTCTCGTATGTTCACCCATCCTGTTTGATCAATTCTCACATTTCGATTCAATACCTATATCCCGCACATGATTAATTTTAGGGTTTCATTTGAACTTGATGGGCTTTACTGAATGCGTGTGATCCGTGAGCATGGGTTGTAGAGATTTTAGGCCTTGAGATGTTTTGAGATCTTAGGCTCCTGGATGATTTGATTTATCACTTGCTGCTACTCTTTCATACTTGCATCTGCTGTTAGTCTTGGGTTGGAATTAATAGTGTATGCCCCTTCTCAACTTTTTCAGCTGTAATGCCAAGGATTAAGACTAGTAGATTTGTGAAGCTTGAGAGTATATGTGACTTTACAGAAGGCGGACAGATGCAGAAGGTGGTGGTATGAGGACCTCTTCCCTAGGACTGCATTCCAAGCTATACATTATTGAGATGCAAAAGTCAACTTTATTTTTTCCCTTCATTTCAGGGTCACGGTTCAACTCCCCAATCCTCCATTGCACCATCTCATAATCCAAATGAAACAGCATTGGTGCCAATGGAAGTAACAAGGTCTTCCATTGAGCCTAAACCAGTTCTACTCGAGGAAGAAATGACTAATCATCATGTAGTTAAAGAACCCTGTCAAGTACGTTATGCTTTAATCTTCAATGGATTTACATTGATTTACATTGTAAAAGAAAAGAATATGTAGTTATACTGTGCATTTTTCTCAGGTATTATGTGAGGAGAAGCAGTCCATTGTTCAAAACAAGCAGTCTTCACTCCTCCAAGGTGGTGTGTTCTGCCTTTTGAATATTTACTTGTGTAGTGCTGGCATGGATTGTGAGCAACTAAACCAATTACTAACTTCGTAGTTTACTTAAAGCAGGAGCATGCACCCCTCTACCACCAAAAGAAACTACTCAGGCGGCAGTTCAGCTGAGTGATGCTAAGAAGCAGCAGACAGACAGAAAGGTATCAAGTACGATTAGGAACCCTTCTGCATTAAAGTCAAAGCCCCAATCACAGATGAGAAGTATAAATGTTGCAAGTGGAAGCAGGTATAAATCTATGCTTCGCAATATATATTCACTCTCCTAGCTTCCAGGTGTATATAAAGTATATAGCATGATGATCGTAGCAATTTAATCTTGCTCAGGAACACAAACAGGAAAAATACTTCAGGAGCTCCAAACCTTGTTCAAGAAAACCAAGCTATAAAGAAGCAAAAACTTGAAGGGGGGAAATCGAGACAGGTATGGGAAACTTTATGGCAAAAAATGTTTACCTTGCTATGCACAACCTTTTTCCACACGCAAATATCTAACCTGCTTGGTTTGTTCTACATTTTCTTTAGATCCTCAACATCAAACCCATAAATCTTCCTCATAAATCTAACAGCAATTTCAACTTACATCGTTCTTCTACAAGAAATTCATGCACAGAACACAGAAAGGTTAGTATGCACTTTCCCCTCTCTAGCATTACCTGTCTGGATATTTATTTTGAGACTCTAATGCACCATTATAAAATCCTCCTATTTCAGATTTATGTTCGGGAACCAGCAGTCCCATTTGTTTCAATGGCAGAAATGATGAATAAGTTCCAATCCAGTACTAGGGAAATGTTATTGCCACACATGAATTGTGCAATGTCGCAAGTAAATATATGTGTTATTTGCAGAACATTCCTAAGAGTTTGATTGTGTAAAGATTTCATTGAACTTTTAATTGTTCTTTTTAGGATGTTTTGGGCGGATCAGTGCAAAGAAAGTCTAAACTTACACTCACTATGCCCAAGGAACCTGAACTTGAAACAGCTCAACGTTATCGTCCAGTAAAATTCAAGAGCTCAGCCGAATTAGAAGAAGAAATGATGGCAAAATTTCCGAAGTTCAAGGCTAGGCCCTTCAATAAAAAGGTACTTCAGATTTTAAGTGGCTGTGCTCCCCCTCCGGCTTTATCATCTGGCTTGAGTGTGCTCTTTTTGCCCCCTACAGATCTTTGAATCCCCAAGTTTACCAGCAATGCAAAAGACTACACCCCAACTACCGGATTTTAAGGTTGGTAAAAGTGCAGGGCAACTGTTCTGAATGCATTAGTTATACTACAGTTGGTATTTTAGGCAATCCGTTTCTTATGCAGGAGTTTCACTTGGAAACCATGGCACGGGCAAACCTAAATGCTGAAACATCTACCGTGGCTTCATCAGAGCTCAATCAGGTACTGCCATTACGTGTTTGTTGTTAACACTTGTTGAGCATAATGATGGTTGTCGAATCGCATGTTGTTACTTGTTAGGTTGCATGTATGCCATGCATAATACATATGGAGTACTTGTTTATTTGCAGTGTCGTCCATGGAAGCCCTCACATCTTACAGCACCCAAATCACCCATTCTCCAAACCTTGATGCGGGCCCGCCCTCCTAAGATAAAATCTTCTGAAGAACTCGAAATTGAAGAAATTGAAAACCTTCCCAAGTTCAAGGCAAGACCATTGAATAAGAAGGTATTTTGGGAATAAATCCAAACATTGAACACATTTTTATGTTTTCAAAAGCTTATTAGTTTTCTCCTTTAACTGTTATTATTATTTGTAATCATTATAGATCTTTGAAAGTAAAGGGGATGTGGGGATATTTTTCAACACAAAGAGGCAGGCTACTGTGCCACAAGAGTTTCACTTTGCTACAGATGAAAGGATCCCACCAGCACCAACAAATGTTGCTGATATATTTGACAAGGTCCGTGTTATATTACATCAGAAGGAAATTTATACTGGGCAATGGTTTTGTTCATAATGATGGTTATCTATTTTATTGTTCATAAATTTTTCAGCTGTCGCTGAATTCAGAACCACAAAATGAGAGATATGTTCCTAGAAGTACCATGATAAATCCTTTCCATCTACACACAGAGGTATGCATGTTTACCGGTTACCTGGGATACGTAATACATTTGCATCGCGGGATGCAAGCATTGGTTTAAAATGTAAAGGCTAGGGAAAGGCTAGGAAAAAAGTAAACCCGCTTTCCTGAAGCTTTGTTTCACCTTATGTTTTCCGAGTTCCTAATGAACCCTTGAGGTTTGGAAATATTTAAATTTCCAACGTTTGCTTTACTGGTTGCAGGAGAGAGGGGCAGAGAAAGTAAAAAGACTATTTGGGGAACTTCTGCAAAAACAGATTGAGGAAGAAAGGGCTAGAGTTCCTAAAGCAACCCCTTATCCCTACACCACTGATTACCCCGTGGTATGCATTTGTCAGTTCTCTCCCATTACTGTTCCCGAACATTGTTTAACTAACCACGAAGCCCATCATCCATGCAGATTCCTCTAAAACCAGAGCCCAAACAATGCACAAGACCAGAACCTTTTCAATTAGAGAGTCTGGTTAGGCATGAACATGAAATTCAAAGGGAAATGGAAGAAAGGGAAAGGTTGGAGAAGGAAGAGGCCATGATGAGGATATTCAAAGCACAACCAGTTCTAAAAGAGTAAGAACCCAAGTCTAGTACATCACATATGCTTATCCAATAACCTAATTAATTATAGGCTATGTTGGTATGTTACAATTCTTGGTTTGTGAAACTTATACTACGTATGTATTTAGATGTGTTTCTGTGTATAATATAATATAAAAACAATAAATAAAGTACTTATTGAAATATTTAAAATAAATATATTAAGTTTGAGCTTATCTTTATGTTTCTCCCACAATTTTTTTCATTGGATTTCCTAGTATCATATTATATTCTAAATATTAGTTTCTAGGTTCCTGATTCAAAAGTGTAAACCTAAAAGAAAGTATATTTATATTGTTTATCAGCTGCGATTGCAGGGACCCAATTCCAGTTCCTGAAAAAACACGTAAGCCTCTCACTCAGGTTCAGGTGTTTAACCTGCATCTGGAACATCGTGCCATGGATCGAGCGAAATTTGATGAGAAGGTAAATAGTTGTTCGTCACAAGTTTTACTACCGCTCATCGAGCCATTGATTAAACAAAACTTGTGGACTCGTAATAAATTTGGCAAGTGTACAGATAAAGGAGAAAGAGGTTATGTATAAAAGGCACAGAGATGAGGCAGACTCTGCGAGGATGGTAAGCAAATAACATCAAAATATCATGGCTAATTAAGTTCTGCTTTGCTATTGCTATATCATAATCCTTCTTGTATTACTGTATCCTTGATTAATACTCCCTCCGTCCCAATTTGTAAGATACTTTACGGTTTACGATGTTTGACTGACGATAAAACAAATTGATCCATGTCAACACTCAAAATAGTTTTAGAAAATAAAATTTATATATTCAGAAATTACATTAAAACCGCTACAAAACCTGCAAAAAATAATTCAAATTTCATAAAATTTTGATATATAAAGTAAAAGATTAAGAGTGATTTATGTTGACCAAGTGAATAGTAAATGTATCTTACAATTTGGGACTGAGGGAGTAATAAATAACTAGTGTTTCCTCAAAAAAAAGTTCTGCTTGTTTACTTTTAGGAAACAAATACGGAGTAACTGTTTATTATTTTATTTTATTTTGCTTTTAATATGTTATAGATAGAGGAGCAGAAGGCATTGAAACAGTTGAGGAGGACATTGGTGCCACATGCGAGACCAGTCCCGAAGTTTGATCAACCATTCTTACCTCAAAAGTATGTGCCTTTTGTGGGTTTTCTCCCCATCATTTTTATAGATCTTTTATTTTTGTTATTTATTGTACTTTAACTGTCCTTCAGAAAGTTGTTGCGAAAAAAATATAGAGGGAAATAGATGCGAAATTTGGAAAGAAAATGGTTTTAAAAGCACATTTTTTCGGTAAAGTGTGGAAATTCTGATTTCCAAGTACTTGAAAAAAGTATAAGTATCATTTTTTGGTTTCACTCTTTTGTGCTCGAGACGTAGCCGCCTAATTGGACATGTTGTGTGGTCTTATGAATGCAGATCGTCCAAACAGGTGACAATGCCGAAATCACCTAAGCTGGAGGTTATCAAGAGAAAAGATGTGCGGAAGTTTCATCCAAAAATAGCATCAGCAACCGCAAGTGTTGCATCTAAGATGAGGTGAAATATGAACGAAAGTGAGACCTTTTTGTTCTTCAAGAAGTCTTGAAAGGAGGAAATATTTGTATGATTTGTTGTTAAAGGTGGTGAGACGGATTATGTAAGGGATTTGTGTATATTATTCTATAAGAACCAAATATAGTTTCCAATATATATTAGGGGGTCAAAATAATACTAGATGAAAAGTTAGGAGTTAAAATAAGACCATATTTAAAATTTTCCAAAAAGATGATTGATGGGACATTTATGCCATTTTCATTTACGCCACATTTATGCCCAAAAAAAGTCTTTCCCCACCCCAACCTCTAGCCATTTCTTACCCCTTTTCCCGATCTAATGGACTATTAGGGATGTCACCGATACGGATTCTTAAGGATTTTAAAGGAATGAGATTTTGATGCATTTATATGGAATTATATAGAATCCTTAAGATTTTATATGGAATTTGAAATCCATGAAATTTGAAATCCCTTCCTATTCTCAGACTTCGTATTGTGTTTCTCTTTCGTTATGGTTGACGCCCTAATTACCTTTGTGAGCATAGATCAATTGCGGACATCTAACATGGAGCTTTGGTCGCAAATTCCTTTTCGTTATAGCAAATTGCTTCCCCGAATTTTCACAAAGGAAGCTCCACACACACACACATACACACACACACACATATATATATATATATATATATATATATATATATATATATATATATATATATATATATATATTATTCCTTTAAAATCCTTAACAATTCACAGAGGACACCCCATTAGATAAACGAGAGCCGTTTTTCACCCGTGCCTCTATGGACAGAAATGACAACACAGAAATAATAACCCAATACATGTTCATTAAATTTCCTTTCAAAAAATAAAAGGAACAAGCACACATCTTTATGGATCGAACACTTTCATGACAACTCGCGCTTAGAAAATCTTGGAGAAACCCTCTTCTTCCCGCCGGGAGTCGCTGGCCCCCTCTTCTCGATCCCCATATCCGCGGCTTTCTGTGCCCGGGTCCGTGCGGCTGCGTCGCTTTCGTGCGCTATCCTATCGAAATCATCGCCTAGTTTCCTGACGGGAAACGCTTTATGAGACTCATCGTCATCTTCGGCCTCACAGATCAAGCGCCGCTTTCGCTTCAAGGCGAGCGGCGCGGGCGGAGGTGAAGGGGTGCTCATGACAGGGGAGGTGACGGATGACTTCCGATGCACTTTCTCTTCCTCCTCCCTTAACTTGTTGATGTTGCCCTCGATCCGACCCTGAAGGCGGTGGTGCTTGAAGCTGAGGCCGCCCATAGACCAGTGCGCCTCCTCGGCCCACGACATCAGGGCATCGAAGACGGGCACGGGAGGGTCCACTCGACGGTCGTTGAACTTCACGTCCTCGTAGATCCGCGGCCTTGGGAGGCTTTTGCCGTAGAATTTGCCCGGACCTAGTGTTACAACCATTGATTACTTGCTAGTTGCTACTACTATCAACAGTAAATAAATGGTAAGGAAGGATGTGGTGTGGAAATTCTGTACTCGTCGTAAGAATATATATATAGATCAGAGAGATGCCATGCGCCAGATCTGATTCGCATCCATCCGAGGGAAAAAATATAGCGAGCGGGAAATCGTGGCGCCAAAGTTTACCGCCGGCCGGTTGTCAAACCCTGAAAGGCCCACTACCGACTTAAGCCCATTCGCGCACCCCATCGTGTCACCAGATTTTTTCTACTAGGCCGTCAATACTCTCTACTCAAAGGTCCGAATTCCGAAACAAATGTTTGCAATAAATTAAAAAAAATGAATTTAGTATTTTCAAATACTTGAATAAAAAATATTTTAAAACTAAAAGATTCAAGTTTGTATGCATCTGCTACAAGATATTTTTGTAATTAAATTGAACTCTAGGGATGATGGCTATGAGCCTATGACAAACATTTGAGTAGCCTCACCCACTTCTGACTGTGTTTTTCTATGTATAATTTGGCGCAGTCAATTTCAAAAAATCATTTGAAGGTCTTCTCGATCGAATTTTGAGCTGAAATTTGGTATAGATAAACTAGACTTGATGAAGAACATACCATAAACATTTCATAAACAAATTCCACCGGAAAGAACCCCGAACATTCGGACAGGATAAGTTATATATATATATATATATATATATATATATAGGGGATGGTTCCTGTGAGAAAGAAGTCTTAGGAGAGAAAAAAGAATGATATCTAGCCATTGATATCATTCATCCAATGGACACTAATAAAGCAAATCAAAATTGTATTGATGGATAGTCTACCCGGGGGTATATATCCGAAAGGTTATTACGGGGAATAACTTAGAGAGAAGTCAGAGCAAACAAGTAAGAGAGAGAGTGTATATTCGATATGTATTGAGCGTGGTTACAAATGGGGAAATGGGGTGCTATTTATAGTAGCAATAAATGCCGGGCAGGGACACGTGTCAAGTGCTCATTGGCCGAGGGGTCACCTCAACTGGTTGGCGCTGGCAGCCGCATGTGGCCGCATTAAATGCGGCTGTTGGATGGGACGTCTGTGCGGGGTACGTTGATCTGTACGCATGTGAGGCGGATATCTTGTCGAGTGAGATGCCTTCGGCTATAGAGCAGTAGCCGAGGGCTCTTCCACCCGATGGCACCCTGGTGCCGAGGGCTCACAGTGCCGAGGGCTACTGTTTTCTCCGTTTTCTCCCAGTTTCTTAGTTTGCTTGAGAAACCCGCTCTGTGAGAATTTGGAGCCTTCGGCCAGGGGGCCGAAGGCATCCCTGTGCGTTGTGCGGACTGCTTGGTACTCTGGGCGCTGTGATTTGGGCCTGTTGGGCCTGTTGGGCCTGTTGGGCCTTTGCTGGAGTAGTAGGAGTCTGTGGGCCGGGGGTTCCCGGGCCATATACTCCATCAGGAGTCCCTCACTCCTTTTGCCGAAAGGTACTTGAGGGAAAATGAGTAATTTGTGCTTGCCCTTTGATGTTGTCCCGTTGTGATCTCTGAAGTTGGTGAGGAGTTGTTGCTTTTATGTCCCTGCCGAAGGCAGTCCCTCAGTTACCCACATGTCGGGACTTGAGGGCTTGCTTTGTTGTTTGTTGGAATTTCACAGATTTTGTAATTTAATGATTTTCCCGAAGGGGTCCTCCAGTCCCCCACTCTTTGAGGCATTTGTAAAGTGGTGAAAAGGAGTAAAGTAGTTACGTTGCCGTTGTGGGCCGAAGGCTGACGCTTTTCGTTTCATTTTGGGGGGATGCCTCGTTAAAAACCTCATTAGGAAAAACCCTTTGGGAAAAAATCCTAATGAGGGAAAAAGAGTGCACCGAATTCCCCCAATGATGAATCGAAAATGTCAAACCTTGGTGAAAAATGGAGAATGACGGGAATGCCGAAGGCTCTCTCTTCCGAGGGCTCCTGTGTTGATTAGCCGAAGGCTTGCTGTTGATGTCCTGGTGGTGCCGAAGGGGAGCCCCTCAATCCAGGGATCGAGGGCCTGCCAGATGAGGGCAGCAGTGAAGTTGTTACCGGGGGGTCCACTGTTTGTTGATGAGTTGGTGATGACGATACCCGAGGGCTCCCATTACCTGTGTGCCATGGGCCATCCGTCAATGAGGCACTCCTCGGGGGCTACCCGGTTTTGTAGTGCTGAGGGGGAAACCCCGAGGGGTGCCCTGATATGCAGCCCTAGGGATCTGAAGGAGTGATCCCGAAGGCGTGTGTAATGTGCTGTGTGGGGCACAACCCGGGGGCACTTCTGGGTGAGTGCACCCGGAGGCAATCCTTGATGAAGTGGGGTGAAGTAGCAAAACCCGGGGGCTTCCAGAATATAGCCGTTGGAAATATAGCCGTTGGAATATGTAACGACAGGATATAGCCGTTGGGGGGTGGCATACGTGGCGTGGGATGGCTGGCTGTTCGTGGGCGGCGTCACCGGTTGGGTGAAATGGCGGTGTGTAATGATGGCGGTCCGTCCGGAGGCCCGGAATCCAGGCCCAAGCCCGGATTCCTCGCCTATAAATACCCCAAGGCCAGGCATTCCTCCGTGTGCGAAAAACTTGTTAGCGAAGCTCTGCCAATTTTTCTAGAGAGAGAAACAGCAGCCCCCGGTTGAATCCTCTATTCTTAAGGTCAGTTCTCCAGTTACCTTTCACCTCTTAGCTGCCTGTACTGCGCCCTTAGGCTAGGAGATAGAACATTTAGAAAACACTAGTCGTACGAGCCTTCGAACTAGAGTCAGAATGTCGTCCCAGAGTGATTCTCAAGATATCTCGGGGGCGCCCTCGGTGGAGGATGAAGTCCTCTCGGATGTGGAGTCCTCAAGTGCGGAGTCCTCGGTGGGACAGGATGCCGTCATTGCCCTGGAGTTGCAGAAAGCCCTCGTAGCTGAGGCGGAGGCCGAGGGCTTTGAGCAGGAATGTGAAGACGAAGAGTTGGCCATCGCCTGGCAAGCAGCTGAAGAGGAGGCACAAAAGGAGAGCGAGAGGGTCACCGTTGCTGTGCTCCCCCCTCGGGGTGCCGGGGAGGCCAGCACCTCTCGGCCGCTGAATGCGGTCCCCCTCCGGGTGGCCCCCGGGAAGAAGAAGGCCAAGGCCGTTGTTCCCAAGAAGAAAGGCAGCGTAGCAGATCAAGGGAAGCCCCTCGATATGCCCGAGGGGTACTCCTATCTGAACACCGCCGCATTGGAGATCAAGTCGAAGGTTGATGCGGCAGACATCTATGTCACCCAGCTTCACGTGGGCCCCTCGGCCATCGTGGTGACACCGGGTCCGGATGACGTTCTCTCTCGGGCTCCCGAGGGCTGCATTGCGGTGCACGTCCTCTCAGTATCCATGGGGCTCCGCTTCCCCCTGCACCCCCTTCCTCCGGGAGTATCTTCGGTTCGTTGGCCTGGTTCCCTGTCAGCTGACCCCGAACAGCCATTCTTATATCACTGGCTTCCTTCAGCTCTATAAGTCCCGGGGGTGACCCCTAGCCTGGATCTCTTCTTCCAGAGCTTCAACCTGTGCCGGGGGGCACGCGAATGCCGAGGGATTCGCTAATCTGCAGCAGGTATCCGTGTTCAAACTCTTCACCGAGGCGCCCTCCTCGAACAAGGGGTGGAAGGACCGGTGGTGCTATGTGAAGCTAGCCGAGAGCCCCTTCCCGAGGGAACTGCGTGACCGCTTCAGGAGGCACGAGAAGAGGAGGAGCGCCGCCCTCGAGAAAGACGGCAGGATTCTGGCCATGATCCCGGAGGGCCGGGATAAGAATATCTCCATCAAGGACTGCACCAAAGAAGCAGATCTCTACACCCTCGGGTTCCGACGGTACCGGTTCCTGGGGGAAACTGATGAGAAGTTCCCAGTGTTTGAGGGAGCCTCCGGAGGTAGTAGCTGAGGGCATTCTCACCCTCATCTTAGCACGTTTGTCCATTTGTTTTGTTAATCCTTTATGCCACTTAATAGTGACCCCTCGATCCTAACCCCTCATTTTTTTTTGCAGGTGTTCTAGTAAGTATGATGAACGTCAAAGGCCTCGCCCGATTCAAGAACAAACCGGCCAAGGATCCGAAGGGGCCGGACGCAGGTGGCCAAAAGCCCGTCGGTGCGCCCCTCAAAAAGCCCGAGGGCGATGCTGCTGCGGCTAAGAGAAAGCCGTCGGCAAAGGAGCCCCCCCAAGCCCCTAAAAAGTTAAAGAAGGGGGATGCCGCGAAGGATGACCCCCCGCTGGTGATTATAGATGACCCTCCGGTGATGCCGACGGCGCAGGTGCCGGGGGTGGTCCGGGAGCCATCTCTCGAGGTCCTCACGCTCTCCCTCCCGGCTGGTACGGCCGTGTTGAATGGCACAGCCGACCCGAGGGCGCTCCTGAGGGGTATAACCCTCGATATCGACAGGGCAGCTCTCGGGGCTGACGATGATCAAGCCCTTGAAGACAGGATCCTCCGGTCTTCCCTCACGGTGAGTTCACTGTAGTTTGTTTCTTTGTTTCCCACTTTGAACTAAGAAATCACGTTTGGCCCTGACAACCCGCTTATCTTTGCAGACTTGCGTTGCCCTCGGGGAGCAATTCCGACGGCTGGAGGAATGGCGCCTCCACAAAGCTAGGCAAGACGCCAAGATGAAGGAGCTGATCCTTAGGGACTCCCAGGCCACGAAGCTGATGGCCCAGCTTGAGGAGGACCTCCGGCTTGCGAGGGCGGAGGCCGAGAGGCTCAGGGAGGAGAAGGCAGAAGCTGAGGCGGCCGCTGTGGAGGCCGTAAGGAGAGCAGCCGAGGAGGCCGAGGCCACCAAGGCGAAGGCTGTCGCCACAGCCCGGGAGGAGGCCATCTCCGGGTTCCTGGACGGGGGGTGGAAGACCGAGGGGCACAAGGCATGGTTGTCTTCAGTTGTTGAGGCCTCGGTTGATGAATGGTCCGAGGGCCCGGGGGAGGAGTGGATGGCCCGGAAGGGTAAGCAATATTATGATGGGGGTGAGTTCTTCACTCAAGCCCTCATCTACCGGAGGATGGCCCGCCATCTGAAGGTTGAGCCGAAGGACTTTGATCCGGCGGCGTACGGGCTCCCCCCTATGCAGCCAGATATCCGTGTCCCTCTCCCCCCCTGA